CACACACACACACACACACACACACACACACACACACACAGACAGACAGAGGCAGACATTCACTCTCCCAACACACACGAGTGTCTCTCTACTGCAGTCATTCCCATCCAAGAGTGGAAAGATTTCAATTTAGTTTGGTTAAAACTATAAAACACAAGTTATGACTTAAAAAAATAAAAATAAAATAATGTTGACAAATATAATCTTGTGATTTTCCCCCCAGCAATTAATCACTAAACAATTTTAAGGAAAGAGATCAATATAGTATGTGTGAGGCAATTTATGTGGATGACACTTACAGCAGAACATATTTGCATATACAGTATAAAGTAGAAATAGATTTCTTTCTCTGTTCATATCGCTTGCACTTCCTGAGAAAACACCTAATTGTTTTACCCATTTGACTGCATCAAATGTCTCAAATCAAACTAAGTCTAGTTATAAAATAATAGATTCAATATTTCTCAAATTGCTTCAATTTACTCAAATTGTCTCAGTTTGAGCTACTTGGTGTGTGAGTCTTCCACCCACTGTTTTTAATTTAATTTAGAGTGAATTATTGCAATAATGGCCATAGTATATTCAGCATTAGAAGAAACACATTTCTGATTAGCTGTAGATGACTTGAAGCCTTCTGATGGGGTTGTGAGGGCACATCAGAGAAAAGGGAAAAAATTTAGTGAAAAGCTGCTTGTGACGCTGAAGGTTACTAATACTAAACTCTGAATCATAGATTGACATGAGCTGTGGTAGAAAACTGGTAAAAAATGTTTACATGTGAACATTGAAACACAATGGAACAGTATGGAAATGAAAGCCTTGGGATTAAGGCTCCTGGCTAATAATTGAGTGTATCATAAGTGCAAGTCACTGGTCAGAGAGACATTTCATATATCCTCTATTCATGCCCCACAATACAGGTTTAATGAGGTCAATCACAATGTCTCGGTGCAGGAGATATAAATGAGATTTTGAAACAGACTGGCAGATCAAAAGCTAAAGCAAATTGGACAGGGAACAATAAAGAATAAAGAGGAAGTCAGAAAGAAAATAAAAAAAATCAAATTGCAGGAATTTCATTGAACACAAAAAATAAAAAATTTAAAGGGCAGCACATATGTTTTTTTGATTCACCAAAAAAGAAAAAAAAATCTCTGCAAAACTGTCCACTGTATAATTATCAAGACGTATGTGCTTTAGGATCATTTATTGGATCAATTTGCTCAATAATTTGTGATTTGGAAGAATATATGGTGTGTTTGTGTTTCTGTATCTCAAACTGTAGGGAACGGCACTTAAAAGAGTAGAAAATGTGAATATGTGTAAATATTCACATATATGAATATTTATATAATATTCTAAATCTCTTTACTTCAATTTTGAAAACTGATCAACAAATAAAGATAACTGTTTAAATATTATATAATATTATAATATTATAAACAACTTCTAATGCAAAAAAATATTTTTCTTTGAGTTCTTCAACTTTATATTCATCAAAGAATCCTGAAGAAAATTCTGAAGGATCATGTGACACTGAAGACTGGAGTAATGGCTGCAGCTTTGACATCATAGCAATAAATAAGATTTTAAAACAAAATATTAATATAAATATTAATAAAATAATATTTCACAATATTACAGATTTTTTTCTATAATGTTTTTAATGAATTAAATGAAGAATGTGCTTTTTCATTCCACTGCACTACTTTTCCATTATTTATCTATGTGAACATGCTAGACAGACTTGTTTGCCTGATGCACTTGAATCTTTTGGGTCTCACAGTGTGTCTATTATTTGTAAAAACTTTTTTTATTTTTATAAATCATTTCAAGTAAAAATGACTTTTTATCTGGCCCCTTGAGGAGTATAAGAGACTTTATTTACATTGGTAATTAACAGTTTAAGACTGATTTCACTCACTCGTATGGGTCGCTGGGGTCTGGTCCTTGTAGTTCAGATGGGATGGGAATGCGTTTATAGTACATCTCCCAGTCAAAAGCTCCCCTCATGGCGTCCCCTGCCTGTGCCTCGTATCCAAAGTGGTTATGGTCAATCACGTCTATCATGGGACACACAATGGTTTTGGGGTTCTGTGCGATCTGGTCTGCAGGCAGAGGGCAAGGAGAGAAAAGGAGAAGAAAAGTTAGGTAAAGCTAGAAATCTTCCATTTCCGTCTCTTCACAAACACTGCGTGGAGAAGAGGAGAGGAAAGAAAAGAAAGGGGAGGTAGCACCTCTCAGGAGTCTCCCTCCTCTCCTGGATCAATTGCTCTCCTTCGCTCTGCTTGGCTGAGTGTGGTGACCCTGTGAAACTTAAAGCCGCCATAGCCGCCCGGCGATTAGAAACAATTACAGCACTTCAAAGTAGGTTTGCTCCATGGAGGGCCGAGCAGAAAGGACCCTCGGCCCTTAACTCTATCTCTGTCAGTCAGCAGCCGCTAAGCCGTCCCAGATCTGTCACCCACACTCTCCCTCAACCTCACTGCACTACTGGACCATGGAGATCGCAGAGAGAAAGCAAAAGAGAGGGAACAGACCTGGAAAATGGGCTTAAAAACACAACACCACACACCTTAAACAAATACATTATGAAGATTAAACTCAAGAGCTGTCTCTGTCTTTCTGAAACTGAGGCTGCAATGAACATTGCAAGACTCAGTGCTTTTGTCATACTCACAATGATAATTCCTGATGAATGATCATTTTGTTTCAGAAAAAAAAAGACTTTGTGGGGAAGTCGTGGCCTAATGGTTAGAGAGTCGGACTCGTAACCCAAAGGTTGTGGGTTCAAGTCTCATACCGGCAGGGATTGTAGGTGGGGGGAGTGAATGTACAGTGCTCTTTCCCACCTTCAATATCACGAAGGTGCCCTTGAGGAAGGCACAAAATGGCTGCCCACTGCTCTGGGTGTGTGTTCACTGCTGTGTGTGTGCACTTTAGATGGGTTAAATGCAGAGCTCTAATTCTAAGTATGGGTCACCATACTTGGCCACATGTCACGTCACTTTTAAAATTAAGTCTCTTAAAACATACTTTACTAGACTTTTATGAACTTGGTTTTTATCCAAGGCAACTTACATTGCATACAAATAGATATTTTATGAGTCTATGCGTTATTTGGGAATAAAACCTGACTTTGGCATTGCTACATGCTCTGCTGTTTGAGCTATGTGATTTATTGATTGATTGATATACATTTTTATTCAGCATGGCTGCATTAAATTGATTAAAAATGACAGTAAGGATATTTGTATTTCTCTTCCAAACAACATTTTTTCTATTCATCAAAGAATCCTCAAATTGCACAACTGTTTTCAACAATAATTACAAGAAATGTTTCTTGAGCACCAATTCAGCATATTAGAATGATTTCTTTTTTCCCCCTGAAACTAATGAAAATTCCCACCACAGCGTAATTTCCACCACATCTCAAATTATGCATTAATTAACATTCTTTGATGGAAATTACACTTTTGTCTTGCTAATAGCAATTTTAAAAAGTGTCTTAAATACCTAAAATAATATTTTCATGCATTTTGAATAATTCAACAAAATTATGCAGCCTGAATGGAAAAAGTTTAACACTAAAAATAATAATTTTTTTATGTTTTCTATATTTTCACACATCATGTCTTGTTTCACCTCAAGCTCTTCATATTTCCTGAAAAACTGATATTTGCTATTTTGTAATATTGAAACTGTTATTTAGATTATAATAGGTTTAATACATTAAATGCAACAATTAGTATTTTTAATTTTTTTTAATGAATTGTCATAATTTAAGATTTAAAGTCTAAGGGCCAGATTTACTAAACAGTGCAAATTAGCGCCAACCATTGTTAATTTCATTGACGGATAATTTTTGTCATAATTTTCGCCAACGCCATTTTTTTCACCGACGAAAACAAGACGATGATGAAATAAAACTCGTTTTGAATGACAGAAACTATGAAGAAAATCTATTAAAAATCAACAAATAAAAATGAGACGAAAATGTTAGGGAGGGACGATTTGGGAAGAGATTCGTTCAAAACGAATCTGCTGCGTGGTTCGGAGTTTAGATGCGTACATATGAAGCACAAAACTATCGATATCTGGGAGTAAGAGAAGAGCAGAAATATGGATAAATCTGACAACGCCTAAGAGAACTCAATTTGGTCCGGTTTTCGGCGCACACACACCGAAGCAGCGCCTCTCACACAGCACATGAGTACTCTTTCGCATCTCATAAACGGAGAAATACATACAAAATTATGTCGAATTGTCTGTTTTAACGAGTATTCACGTAAACACACTCGGTTGTGTCTTATGTGGACATAAACAGTTGGGAGAATATTGGATGTGTATCAGTACATTGCATCCGTGTATCCGGTTTTAAAGAGACAGCAGCCTAATCACGCACTGGTCTTGACTGAATCACTTTAGTAGCCCTAAAGACTCATCTAAATTTATTTATAGAAATAAATATGTCAGCCTGAAAGAATGAAGAATGTGGTAAACAAGTTGTTATAAAGAATGCATAATTAACCTATATAACCATTTGTATTTCACTGAAAAGAAGACCATGTTCTTGTTCTTTATGAGAAGTGGTTTTATTTAATTTTAACATAAAAGCATGTTGTGTGTCACTGCAGTTAAATCGGTGTCTATCATTATAAAACCTTAATATCAAACCTAGTTAATGTGGAAACCCATTAGATTTTAGACGATTAAATTTACTGTAGATTTAGTCGACTAAAAATCTTATGATATTTAGTCGACTAAAACAAAAAAAATTCAGATGACTAAAACTAAATGGCATTTTAGTCAAAAGACTATAACTATTACAAAATTTGCTGTCAAAATAAACAGTGGCGCCAACGAGCTATTCCAAAACAGGGAAATCTCTGTGGGTGATTTACTGACAATGCGCAAATTAAAGAACAGGCGCGACATCTAATTTACATATCAATCAATGCAATATACCAAGCGCAGCGCAAATTAGCATAGTTGCAAATAAGCAGAGCTTATGCTAATCAGGTGCGGGTGATCTACTTACAACACAGGCACAAAATAAGACATGCTATTTTTGGGTGGTAAATAATGGCGCAAATACCAGTAATTTGACGAGCGCAAACATTAGTAAATCGCGTTGCATGATTCATTTTAATATACTCCTCCCATAAATGTTGCGTCTGCAAGAGAAATTCCTCCAAATGCATATTCAATAAGGTCAGGCGCAAAAATAACTGTGTCCACGCCTTTTCAGCGCTAATTATTCACTGCACATCTTTAGTAAATCCTGACAGTACTATTTTAACGCCAGAAGACTGTAATAATTTTATTTAGTTGTAAGGGAATTAATCATTATTAATTCATTCAGGCTAACGCCTAAGTGTGGGAGAAGGGTTATAGTAAAATCAATATGCAAAAGGCATTTGAAAAGCAGCAAAAATAATGTTGAAATTATGGTAAAACTTTTCCAAGACCATTTTAAAGTGACCATCATATAACACAAATTCAACAAGTTGGAATAAGGTGTATGTAGATTGTATGTTTTTTGAATACTAGTCATCAACCTCCACAAACATCCAGCATCCATCCATATGATGTGACAGCAACCAAAACAATGTCCTCTCCACTGATAACTTGTGTGTGGTCAGAACAATTTAGCCAGTTCTCAGGAGGTCTCCCATCCAGATACTAGTCAGGCTCAACTGGGCTTAGTATTAGTGGATAGCCAGTCAAGAGCTGTGGGGCTATAATCGGTTGGCTTTCTCCTGCAGCAGACAATTTTCTGTGTGAAAATTTCACTATGTGTCTGTATACAAGCAATTCTGTTAGTATACCAGTAGCTTAACTACAACTAAGCACAAATTACAAGAATATACATGTATTGCAGTGCAATGCTACAAATAGCTGTTATGATGACATGAAGAATTTACTGTCGGCTTTGTGTCATTAGTTAGGATAGAGGACATTTTCTGTCGAGAGCTGTTGGCTTTGCATTTGTTTATGTGTGTGTGTGTCAGTTCAAGAACAGGCTTTCCTAAACAGCTACCGCACAAACAACCACCTGCGTTCTCCTGCCAACACTCACATATCATGCCTTTGTTTTCTCTCTGGCACCGAGTATCCACTTTCCTACCATAAGAACCCGCTCTGCTGTGGCGCTTACTGGGGCTGAATCCTTTGTTTGATTCTTTATCCTGTTGTAGAAGTCTAATGTGAAAACCAAGGACTCCATCTGCCGTCTGCCCAGTTGACGAAGACAAATGAAGAAGAATTTAGAGGAAGACTAAGGAAAGATTTCGCAATTAGATTGGACTGATTTCTGTAAGAGTAGCAAAACAGCATCAAACCAGACAGACCAGACTGCACATTGTAACAACATTTCAGTGCATTTCTAAAACAATTTGAAGGCAAAGGAAGGACACAACGATCACACTTAGGAGGACACAATTCCGGCACAAAGAAATTTCAGTTGTCCTGGAGATGCTGGATGTTTCTATGGAAGACATGAGCTCTATTCAAAGGGGAATCATTTTCTCTGAGGTGGTCAGCTTAATTTCTGTTTCTCAGACATACTTTATGAGTATGAATCACACATGCTTGTGCATTTTCACACAACCTTAGTAAAAATTACAGAGGAAATTACTGTTTTTCAGTAGTCCTCTGATAAAATTTAATACCGTCTGGATACGAATGTCTGTGATGGCTCATTTTCACATGAATGCTTCTCCTCATTTATTTTGACTGTCGTTGAATCCTGTAGCTAAAGCTAAATTTCACGTTGCACTGTCTAGTGCACCTTTAATACAACTTTCTAGGTAACAGTTGGTGGCACAAGTGCTGTTGGGATGCCATCTGACATAAAACGATAATTAAATTAATAAGGAGAGCAGGGTTCATCATCAGAAATGCTTCTCATTTTAATTTCTTCCCTTAACTGATTTCTTTTAAATATGTCTGTTATGCTCAGAATTTATTGTAATATGTGCAGCATTTATTGTAAAATGTGCTCAGCATTTATTTTACTGTAAGGCTGCATTTATTTGATCAAAACACAGTAAAAACAATACTATTTTGAATTATTATTACAATTTAAAATAAGTGTTTTATATTATATATTTTAAAAGGTTAAAAATGTATTCCTGTGTTGCAAAGTTGAATTTTCAGCAGTCATTACTCCAGTTTCTAGTATCACGTGATCTTGCAGAAATCAGAATTCTAATACGCTGATTTGCTGCTCAAATCACACTTTTTATAATATTATCAATTTAAAATAAAAAATTGGACCAATTCTCACTATTAAATAGTAGCTTATTAGCATTCATATTACTAGCATATTGGATGTTTATTAGTGCTTATAAAGAACATATTAATGACTTATTCTGCATGACCATATTTTAGATCCCTTAATCCGACACCATACCTAAACTTAACAACTACATTACTATAAAAAAGCAGCAAATTAGGATTGTTACCATCATTTGAGCTGCCTAATGTATTTGTGGAAACTATGACACATTTTTTTTCTGGGCTACTTTAAAGAACATTAAGTTCAAAAGAACAGTATTTATTTGAAATAGAAATCATTTGTAACATTATAAATGTCTTTATTGTGACTTTTGAACAATTTGAATGCATCCTTGCTGAAAAAAGCCTTTAAAAATTGTACTGACCCCAAACTTTTGAAAAAATATACAGTGGGTACGGAAAGTATTCAGACCCCTTAAATTTTTCACTCTTTGTTATATTGCAGACATTTGCTAAAATCATTTAAGTTATTTTTTTTCCTCATTAATGTACACACAGCACCCCATATTGACAGAAAAACACAGAATTGTATAGTTTATTTCATTTGTTTTGGTGATGCAAGTATCCAGAGCACATAATGGCCACATCCAGACAACCATTCCACCCTTACTAAAAACTGCATACATCACAGTACCATCATGAAAATCACAGACATTCTGTGTTAATAACTCTAACTCAAATGTTATTTAGAAAACCAATCTAGTCTGAATAGTGCTGTGGATTTACACTCCCTCAAAATAAGCACTGCTCATGACAGTTACACCAAATAAGGCAAGTAAGAATGAGAGCACTAAAGCAGGAGTGGTCAACATCTGTCCTGGAGAGCCTCAGTCTTGCAAAGTTTTGTTCCAACCTTGGTAAAAACTCACTTGCCTGTAGCTTTCTAGTAACCATTAGACATTGATTAGCCCTTTCAGATGTGTCTGATTAGGGTCGAAACTGAACTCTGCAGGACTGTAGCTCTCCAGGACCAACAATGGCCACCCCATAGTATATTATATATTATATTATATATTACTATTATGTTTATATATATGTATGTATGTATATATGTATATATATATATATATATATATATATATATATATATATATATATATATATATATATAAACAGTAAATAAGTAAATAA